CTCGTAGGCTGCAGTCCTGCAGCTCCAGCTCATAGCACCTGAGAGGGAAGAGGCAGAGCAGGAATGGTACCAGGGAGCCCTGGCCTGTGGGCACAGGACGCAGGCAGAGCACTCACCGGCTGGTCCAGCCATGGGAACCACGGAGGCAGGCAGCGAGCAGCTTGGCGAGGCTGGGCGGCGGTGCCGGCAGGAACCGGGGGTGGTGCCGGCCGTTGGGCTCTGCCACAGGGAGCCAGGTCAGGGGGTGAGGGACTGAGCTGGTCCCATGCCCTACAGCAGGTGCTCACTGCAGACAGCATGGGGGGACAGGTCCTCACCAGGCAGGGAGGTGGGGTTTCCCTCGAAGCAGATCCCTGAGTCCCAGGTGGTGACCTCCAGTGCCACTGTGATGTCATCGGGCTGTGGCCCCTCCAGCTTGTAGAGCAGAGTCAGGAAGAGCTTGGGGGGGGCCGGCATCTGCAAAGAGAAGAGGCTGATGACCCCAAATCCACCCAAAGAGAGACAGAGACAGAGACAGAGAGAGAGACAAAGAGAAGGTGCATTGTGTTAGGTGTGCTGGGCAGTGTGGGCAGAGCCTGGGCACACTTGCCACAAGGCCCCAAGGCCACACATCTCGGGCCATGCAGGCCACGTCATGCTGACATGCTGCCAGCCCAGCGCTGAGGAGGGGTAAAAGGCTTTGCTCCAACTCACCGGACAGCCACGCGCTCCTCTCCGGGAGGAATGGTCCCCTGCAGCTGCAGGGAGCTGCCCCCACACCAGGCATCCTGCAGGCAGCAGCTGGTGCTCAGCGTGCCCTGCTGCTCCGGGTACAGTGGCTGGATGTCCTGCGCGCTCAGGTCGTACCAGGGCCCAGACTCTTCATCCTACAGCACAGGGAGAGCTGAGCTGGGGGAGCCGAGAGCAGAGACCCCCCTGCCCAGTCTGACTAGAGCAGAGCTGTCACCCTGCACCCACCTTCCCATCCAGGAATGTGCTGGTGCCCATGCCCAGGCTGAAGGAGGTGGTGAGGGGCAGAGTACAAACGCTGTGTGTGGGCAGGTACTCGGCCAGCAAGCCCCAGAACCTGGAGGCAAAGGTGGGTGTCAGGGCAGAGACCCCTGTTATGATCACTGCCCTGCATGGCCTCAGGCCTCACCTCAGCTGGGGCAGAATGGGGCCAGCTGGCTCCTTGCCAGCAGCCACAGTGTTCTGACAGCTACAGGGATCCTGTCCTGCCACCCCACAGCCTTCCTGAGCCAGGGCACTCCTAGCCCCATTCCTCCCCCAGCACCCGCCCTGCTGAGCTGCCCTCACCTGTTCTCGTTCTGCAGGAAGTTTTCCTTGCCCAGGTGCTCATAGACCCAGCCGGGAGCGAAGATGGCTGCAGAGAGGCCGTACTGGCGGATCAGGCGCAGGGACTGCAGAAATGAGTGGTGAGCAGCATGGGCCAGGCCAGGTAGTCACCGTGTCACCTGTCCTGTCCCCACTCCCCTCAAGTTCCACTGGCCCCACAGTGGGGCAGGACACCACAGGGCTGTGCTGCAGCATTTCCCTCTCCAGGGATGGCAGCACTGGGATCCTCCAACTCCCTCTTCATGCATGGCCAACACTCTGGGATCCCTCACTCCTCACCAGTTCATCCCCAGGTTAGCAGCCCAACACAGCCCAGCCCAGCAGAGCCATCAGTGGAAACTCAGAGCCCTGAGCTGGGGGAGGTCCAGGGTCACACTCTGGCCCGGTCCTGTCACACCCACCTTGTCAGTGTCGAAGCCACCACCAATCACATCCCCACGGGCAAAGACATCAACACCGACATAGATGTCGTCTTGGCGTGGGCCAGCCAGCCTCTGCGTGCGCTCCAGCTGCTCCTCCTTCCAGTTGTAGTTGGTGAACAGCCCGTCACATGCATCAAAGAATATCCTGGGGACAATTTCAGAGTGGTAGGGCAGATGCTACGGTCACACAGAGCCGTGCAGGTTGTGCCCGACCACTGCCATGCTGGGTTTGGGGTGGGCTCACGCCCCCTGCCCAGGGACAGTTTTGCCAGCCTCACCTATTCTGATCGTTCAGCTCGTTCTGCCACTTCAGTGTGCCATCCTTCAGGACGCTGTCGTACCAGATCACCAGTCCTCCCGGCACGGCGCTGTGCACCCGTGCCGTCAGCTCCCGCAGGAAGAAGGGCAGGTTCCCCACCGCTGCCGCCTGCCAGGAGAGAGCGGGCACAGGTGGGTGAGGGCACGGGACGGGGGAGCTGCTCCCCAGAGGAGCAGCACGAAGGCAGGGCGGCGAGCAGGGCCAGCAGGACTCACGCTCAGCGTGTTCTCTATGTTGACCAGCCAGCCGTCGAAGCAGAAGTGCTGGGCGATGCGGGCCAGCTGCTCGGCCACGGCGCCGTACGCCTCCTCCCCGCCGGCCAGGAACGCCTCACACAGCTTCTCCCCGTCTGTCCACTCCGTGATGAATGTGCCTGCCAGGCAGCGAGGGCAGCGTCAGCCGCACGTCCTGCTGAATCCACCTGACTGCTGGGGCTGCCCCGGGCCCAGCCCTGCCCGTACCCAGCACGGGGACGCTGTTCCGGTGCGCCGCGTTGGTCCAGACCACGGGCGGGATGGTGACAGTGTGGTGGCTGAAGTACACAAAGATGTCGATGTAGCGCCAGTGGTAGAAGACATAGGGGTTGCGTGTGGCTGAGCCCTGGATGAACCTGCAGAGGGAAAAGGGTTGGGCAGTGTAGGAATGACGCTGACAGATGCTGTGGGGCTGGGTAGGAGCCTGACTCACAGCTGGGAGCTGGGCAGAGCTGTGGCACTGAGCCACCTCTGAACATCCCAGCCTGAGCAAGGCTCCCCAAGCGCCGGTGCCAAGCACCCCATCCCTGCTCACCTGCGGCTGAGCCAGCAGGAGACATGTCAGACACAAACATCGGTGCCTTGGGGTCTGAGACGTCGAGCTCCACTGTTACCTCCCTTCCACCCAGCACGTACCTGTCCTCCAAGTACCCGCCGCGCATGTCGTGGCACACCAGTGTCCGGGGCCTCCTGCTGGACAGTGGGGGCTGCCGCTTGGCCAGAGGCACGGCCGACACGTTGAACTCATCGTTGCTGTTGGGCTGCCAGGACAGCAGCTCCTCCAGGCCGGACAAGAAGAAGCTGATGGGCTCCGTCGTCTTCGTGTCAAAGTACCTTGCTGGGAAGGATGAGGAGACAGGACAGGGCCAGCAGTGAGCGCTGCCCGTGCTCGAGCCCGTCCCGCGGGGCGCAGGGGTGCGGCGGGCCCGTCTCCCGG